AACCAGATGCCCCCCGCACGCCCCCGAACCTCTACCCTGTCACCGTCAGCGCCTCTCTGTCTCATCTATAGTAGACAGACGAGCAGCGTCTCCGACCAGGGTAGACGACACGTTGGACTCATTTGTGGATGGGAGAGAGAGAGAGAGAGAGAGCGAGAGAGAGAGAGAGAGGGGGGAAGACAGAGATAGACGAGGAAGGATGAATAGCAGGAACGCATCTTTGCTCGACTTGACCAGATGGACATTGGCGGTGAACGAATCTAGCTTGCCCCCACATCAGGAAATTCCTCAAGCGGTGTTACTGAACTCTCCCTCATGTCGCCCCCAGCACACGCGTGCTTAGCAGACGCTCCATCACCATGACGACGCTGGCTTCTAAGTTATAACGTCACAGCCGAAGCAGGTTTTTCTTGCTTACAGGTTTTTACACTTTTAGTTGAAAATTTGACGAGTTGATTAGCTTTGCAACTTTTCGACCAAAAGTCGGCATAAAGCGGCAGCAGTATATATAACGCCGTTTATATACGCAGTATATATATATAGAGAGAGAGAGAGGGGGATAGAAAGGGAGAGAGAGAGAGACGCGGGCGCATGGTGTGTGGAGATGTGTTCACATCAGCGGGGTGCGCGTCTGACAACCACGTGGCCTTTATGACGTATCTGTTGTCACAGCAACAAACAGCGACGCAGCAGGGTCGCGTGCATTAGCAGCGCAGGAGCCGTGGCGTTACCCGCTATATAGAGTTACCGCTACACTTGCGCTAAGAATTGTTAGGGTAGGAGATAGTGGAAGATGGTGGACGTAGAAATGGGGTTAGGGGGGTTAGAGGTTAAGCTTATGGTCAGAATTAGGTTAGAGTTAATGGTTATAGCTAGGGTTAGCCTATCGGTTAGGGTTAGAGGTTAAGGCTTAGGGGTATAGAGTTAGAGGTAAGGTTAAGGTTAGGGATAAGGATAAGGATAAGACTAACGATAGGGTTAGGGTTAGGGGTAAGATTGGGGTCAAGGTTAGGGGTAGGGCTAGAATTCGGGTACGTTGGAGTAACGAATAGGGAATGATTCACATGCTACTTTTAGACTAACTGACCATTTCACTCAGCATATATTCTTATAATGAAAAAACTAAGCTACGTTAACCATAGGGAGTGGAGAAAACGAGCTTTAGTGGAGAGATCCACGGACCAGCTATAGTGCAGAGCAATGCGTTGGCCCTTTCGTGCTACCGTATACACTAGCTATCTCTGCGCATGCGTACTATCGAGAAAACAGACTGTTGACTCCGCAGAGATTTCAAAACACACTTTAAGCTTAACACGTGAGCTCGCGCACACTTCCGTTTTCCCACGTGCGTTGAAATCTATATCCGGCAGTCCCATCCTGTCTGTAGAGCGGGCTGAGGGAAGATACCATTCGTTGATAGGGGTGTAGGGGTGCACGAGAGGAAGCCGCGAAAAGGCAACATTAGCCATACAGAGTTTAAAAATAAAAAAAGTTGAGCGTCTGATGATACACAATATACATATATATAATCTCACATTAAACAGAATAATGATACTGTTATTTATACTCAAATTTCAGACCAATACATTGCTCTCAACTGGCTTAATTTATCCCTTAACATTTTAACCCTAATGGTCGCGTGATCACCGTGGCGTGATTGGGAAGAAGGATATAAGTGTGACGTAAGCTAACGCCAGGCGTCGCACGTGTCGTTTTTTTTTCTTTCCGGTTTTAAAAGATTCATCGCAATTTTTTCCTCCTTTTTTTCAATTTTTTTTCTCTGTTGAAGTTCAATCGCGAGTTCCCCAACAGATAAGATTTTACGCGCCAATCACGTGATCTGATCGGTAATACACGTCATCGCTTCACAGATTACTAGCCAAAGCGAAAAAAAACCAAGTGAGCAGGCATGCAACTGCATTAGAATCGCTGTTTGGGGGAATTAGGGTGGGAAGGATATATCCTCGAGCTGTCTTGAACGATAACAGGAATGGCGCGATAGCATTTTTTTCGACTGAGGCCTCGAAGGCACGATGATGTGTTAGCTGTAAACATTGATTGGTATGTGTGTGTGTGTGTGTGTGTGTGTGTGTGTGTGTGTGTGTGTGTGTGTGTGTGTGTGTGTGTGTGTGCGTTTGTATGTGTGTATATGTGTGTGTGTGCGTGGTGTGTGTGTGTATGTGTGTGTGTCACTGTGTGTGTGTGCGCGCGCGTGCGTGCACGCGAGTGAGTGCACCACACATGTGCGCAAGCATTTACTGATAAGATTTCAGACGATGCGTCCTCTAAATAAACAGTTTAACAAAAGCGTAGCAAGCATTTGCGTTGCAAGGGTTCTAGCTGTTAGCAAGGCTTCAGTTGTTCGACAATCGCGAGATCGTCACGTGTCTCGGGAAATAGTTATCATGGTTAATCCTTATCTTCTACTGCTTCTTCTTCTTCTTAGTCTGCTCTCTCTACTTCTTTCTTTTCTTTTTCCTCGTCCTCCTCTTCTTCTTCGTCTTCGTCTTCGTCGTCTTCTTCTTCTTCTTCTTCTTCTTTAACACACACACACACACACACACACACACACACACACACACACACACACACATACACACACACAGATGTAACAGATGTATACCCATACTCCTATACACATACGCACGCACTCACCCACACACACATACATACGCACGCACTCACCCACACACACATACGTAGGCAGGCAGGCAGGCACGCACGCACGCACACGAGTATGAGTACACGCGTAGATATCTCGTCATTTTTTTCCGGAAACCCTGTCATGTGTATCACGTGACCGCGTCGTGATAAAACATTGCTATCATCATCATAATCTGTTTACTCACGTGAGTCACTCTATATCAACCATGTTCGCCCACCCATCCCTCCCCTACCCATCCCTCCCCCACACATCCCTCCCCTCATGCAGCCAGCATGTATGTACACACCTAACGTATTACGGTGGGAAATCATTTCCCTTTGGCGGCCATATATACGAAAAAATTCCCACAAATCAGCAGGTTTTTTTTTAGAGATTACAATGCCATCATGCTGAATTGACGTTGCAAGTGACACCATGTATGTTGTTATTATTATGTTCTCCCACCCTCCTGCAGCTAGCACACCTAATAGTGGAGCAGATGTGTGCAAGAATTGTGAGTTTTGTGGTAAACGCACCAAAATTAGCATATATGATGATAAGGGTACTAAATGATTTCCAATATAGTGCCAAACTCATTTCTCGTAATACGTTAGACAGACGGGGACACGTCACTATTAGAAGATAAACACTAATCTTGCAACATATAGAGAAGTTTTTCTTATCAATCAAGAAATTTCCTAACCTTTAATTTAACAAGCATTGGCGATATTTTTCGAGCATTCCCTACTTTGGCCGAGGATTGCCGAGTTTTACCGAGCATTGCCGAATTGTGCCGAACATTGCCGATCTTTACCGAGTATTGTCGAAGTTAAAACGTTACAGTACGTTAAGTTACATGGCAATGCATCGCGTTTGTTGCATGTTAGTTGCATTGGTTTCATGTTATTTCCCCCGTATATCCTCCACCGTCACAGAGGCTAAACTCGATGTAAATATTTGCCCTGACTTCGCCTCACTTTCATCTTCACATCACGACGTTTACTTTCTACACTTGCCTTCTTACGATGGCGTACTGACGATACACTCTATGGGAACTCGCACGCAGGAATCCTTTGACGATGCATAGAAGACTGGTGACGAGGGACCTTTAATCACTATTCCACACTTGCTAAATAGCCCGTGGGGCCAGGCCAACGCCACTGCGCAAATGAAGATAGCCTCTCGCTGAATACCCTGAAAGGTTGGGCGTGTAGTATATGCTCAACATAAAACCCGCCGAGTGTCTGAATAGAATCCTGTGCAGGCGGGAGATGGCTGGAGGTGGCGTGGGTGAATAGAATTCTTGCTCGAAGTGCTGAAGTATGCGGGGGGGGGGAGGATTGCCACGAGGGCAAGCGCTAGTTATACGAGCAAACCCTGGATGTGTGGATGGGTAAACCAGTCCTGTGTGTGAGAGGGGGTGATTGTGAGGGCTGTGTATGTATGAGAGAGAGAGAGAGAGAGAGAGAGAGAGAGAGAGAGAGGGTGTGTTCGTGGGCCAGTGGGCTGACCAGGGGAGCGTGGTATATGCTCATTCTATAACGACGTGCGGGCTCTCTCTCGTTCTTTCTTTCTCTTTCACACACGCTCGCCCTGTGTGCGTCTCTCTCTCTCTCTCTCTCTCTCTCTCTCTCTCTTTCTACTCTTTTCTGTCTTCCTCTCCCCTCTTTCTCAATCTCTTGCGCATTCGTCGTCGTCTTCGTCTTCGTCTTCGTCGTCGTCTTCGTCTTCTTCTTCTGCTTTTTCTTCTTCTTCTTCTTCTTCTTCTTCTTCTTCTTCTTCTTCTTCTTCTCATCCGCCTTATCTTCCTTCTCCTCTCTTTCCTTCTTCCCCATCTTTTTATTACGTATATAATCTATACATGACATTGTATCTTATTATCGGTTGCAGGCGTGCGCACCTAGGTACGTCTATTTCTCCGTAAACTTCTTCTTCCTCCTCTTCCACCACCTCCTCCTCCTCCTCCTCCTCTTCTTCTTCTTTTCTTCTTCTCCCTCTCCCTCTCCTCCCTCTCTTCCTTCTTCTGCCCGCTCCTTCTTATTACGAATATAATCTATTCTTGACATTATTTGCATCTTGTTGATGTCTCTTGTAGGCGTGCGCACCTAGGTACATCTGTTTCTCCTCCTCGTTCTCCTCCTTCTCCACCCCTCCATTATTCCCTTTCCTTTTTATTACGAATACAATATGTACCTGACATTAATTGCCCCTTGTTGATGTCTCTTGCAGGCGTGCCCACCTAGGTACGTCTATTTCTCCTCATTCTTTTCCTCCTTCTCCACCCCTCCATTCTTCCCTTTTCTTCTTATTACAAATACAATATGTACCTGACATTGTCTATTGTTGTTTTTTGCAGGCGTGCGCACCTAGGTACGTCTATTTCTCCGTAAACTTCCAGCGAAGGGAGCCTGTAGGGGCATGCTTCGCCACAAAGGATATGGGCCGAGGAAACGAGTACGCCCCCTGTCGGACAGGTACGTAAACTAAACGGACAGCTAGCTGTTGCTATGTAGCAACAAAACACGTGTGTTTGTAGCAGCATTGTGTGCGGTGTGTGTATGTGTGTGTGTGTGTGTGTGTGTTTGTGTGCGTGTGTGGTGCTTGCAGTTGCTGTTACGACGGAAAAGGAGTTTCTTTAGTTTTTTTGCCGGAGATGCAGTTTTTTGGACTAGATTAGATGATAATCCTGTGTTTTGCACCGTGACGTATGAGGTAGTGTCTGCGCATGCTCAGTGCTCGCTGTCATGTCGGATAGGACTTCTGAATCGCCTAGTCCTGACGTCAACGCCGTGACGTCATACACGTCACGTGACGACGTGAAACGATGGCTCGCTGGTTTTCAGATTTCAGGATATTTTGACTTTCAGATTCGGATTGAAGTCCCTGTGAGATATAGCTGAACTAGATGTAGTAGATGTAGGTAGTAGACTTACGGACCGTAATCTAATAGACTTACTAGTTAGTTTTTGAAAAATTGCGTGACAAAGGTATTCGAAAACACTTCGGATGTAAAGAAGGAGATGATAAAAATTATTCACACTATAGATATCGTAAATATATTAATCAGTTCCTTGTTCTCCACAAACACCACCAGAATGGAGAAGAATCATGATCTACTATCTTGACTACGTACAGTAATAGAGTCTTGTAGAGGCTTAGCTCTAGAACTATAGACCTTCGCTGCGGACACAGGCCTGTGGCGGATCGAAGGGCTATAGTTCTAGAGGTAGCATAGATCGCTAGGCGCCCACAACTTCCCATCGTACGCCAACGTGATCCGGTATTTGACCCGAAAACGGCTCCACAATTTCAACTAGTAGATCGTCGAGCGCAAAAAAAGAGAGAGAGAGAAGCACGAGAAAACAAATAATTATGTGAATAAGTGATAATTGTTTTCGTTGGCATTTCTAGCAGACTATGAATGTGTTTTCACTATACGCACCGAGCGCATGTATCTCGCATTCCAACGCCACCACATCTCTTTCCCCCGGTGAACCTTTCTAACAGCAGTTTCCCATAGATTCCTCCCTCCTCCAAAAACGAAATCTGTGATGGTGAATGACCGATAGGTGTATTCTCAAGTAACGAGAATTCTTCTGGTTCTAATCTAAAGCATAAGGAACCGGAGGCGGTATAGCTATTGCTCCAAGGTGCTGAAGGCATGTTACTCACCTCCCCTGTGCAGTATTTTTCACTTAAGCCCGGCGCACACGTGAGTTATTTTACTCAAGTAAAATGACGCATGAGTCAAATTACTCAACGAAAATCCGCCGCACACGTGAGTAAAAAGTAGTAGCAGCAGCAGTAGCACCAGCAGCAGCACCAGCAGCAGCGCCAGCAGCAGCAGCAGCAGCAGCAGCAGCAGTAGTAGTAGCAGCAGTAGCAATAGCAGCAGCAGCAGCAGCAGCAGCAGCAGCAGCAGCAGTAGCAGCAGCAGCACCACCACCACGACCACCACCACCAGCAGCAGCAGCAGCAGTAGCAGCAGCAGCACCAGCAGCAACACCAGCAGCAGCAGCAGCAGCAACAGCAGCAGCACAAGCAGCAGCACCAGCAGCAGCAGCAGCAATAGTAATAGTCGTAGTAATAGTAAGTAATACAATGCGGGCATTATATTTTTCTCGTACGCCTCTCATGAGAAGCACACACACACGCTGTTCTGCCTAGAATGTTTACAATACTGAGTGTAAGCACCTCTCTCTAGTTTACATCTTTTTCTTCCCGCTCGCTAACATACAAAATTGAAAGCAGCTTCGCGGGGAAGGCAAAGCTGCGATCAATTTATATCTGTATGATTTCTGTCCTTGCTCCTGTCCTTGTTCTTGTTAAATTTTGTAACCACCGCTATTGGCGGTCATCCCCTTATCTATACCCGCGTATAGGACATTACGTAGACACTTGGCATTCTATTTCACATTCTATTCTCTACACGGATATGAATACGAGGAGCAGTTGACGCGTATAGACAGGCACGACCCAGCTTTTGGAATATAATATAATATATATGAACATAAATACGCGGCGATTCTATGGGGCATACGGGGATCGAGAGAGAATGAGAGAGAGCGCAAAAGAAAGAAAGAGAAATAGAGAGAGAGAGAAAGAAAAAGAGAGGGGAGGAAGAGAAAGAGGAAGGAAAAGAGAAAGGGAGAGAGGGAGCGAGCAAAGAAAGAGAGAGCAAAGAGAATGAGAGCGAGTGAGAGAAAGAAAGAGAGATAGACATAGACAAAGGGGAGAGAGAGAGAGAGAGAGAGAGAGGGGGGAGGAAGAGGGGGATGAAGAGAAAGACGGGGGGGGGGTAAGAGAGTGAGATGAAGATAGACAGGGATGGCGCGTACATGTGGCAGCCATGTGCATGCCAGCACGCTGCGTTTGCATGTTTTATGTAGATGATCTTGAACAAAGACACACAGGAAATATGTTATTGTAGGCGTATATAGCTGCTGTCGTGGCTGGTGATGATCCGTGCTGTGGTATACACCGATACTCACACGCACGCACACATCCATCCACCACGTTATCTCGATCTGTCTTACTGTCTCCATCTTTCTGTGTGTGTGTGTGTGTGTGTGTGTGTGTGTGTGTGTGTGTGTGTACCCTCTTTTCAGTATCCTTGCTCATTATCACCTATCATTCATTATCATCAAGAAATGATACCAAACGATGGCAATTCGCTTTCTAGCGGAGTTCTTAGTCAACGAGACAGGGTTAGCGCATAGAAACAGAATAGAAGAATGGAATAGAAAAAATAAAATAGAAGAATTCTATTCTATTTCTATGGGTTAGCGCCTATGGGCCATCCATCGCACAACTGCCACGTGACACACTGAATGAATCAGACATTGATACATCCTAGATACTCTCTCATTAGTATGCATGTATTGAATAAATATTATTTATTTTACATTTTCTTCTCGTCTTACTAAACAGCGTAGAATGGTTGAACAGCAAAGTTTACATTATCATAATTATTTTTGGTTTGTTATTGAAACCATGAAAGAGCAACAGAACAGTAAATAAAGTTTTCCGTTCGTGAAACCTCTCCACACGTGTCGTTGAAGCACTGGTTTACAAACCGACTCAGTCACCTATAGACTGGTTCCAAATTCCATAGCCTCGCGCAGCCTAAACCTGGCGCAGCGACGATGAGTCAGTCTATTAAGTGGAAAGTCATGTTGAATAATTATAGCGGTGCCTGTTGGAATGCAACGCATGTTCTATGAAGATTCCTGGAAGAAATCACGATGGAAATTGTTAGGGAAGTTGTTTAAAGTTGCTCCATGGCAGTGCCTGAGTTCATATAAGATCTTAGATCTCTACAAAGATTGTTGAGCGCCCAAAGGTGAAACGCCTTCATTTGGCGCACGCCACGTCCCACGGTTAAAAAATATTAACAAAATATCAGCTAAACAAACAATGCTCAGATAAGCTGTTTGAAGTTTGATATAAAGCTCTCAGTACATAGATTGCGATAAAGACTTGTGTCAGAACCATGGTCAGAACAACCACCCCACTGTGACGCACGCACGTCCCAAAGGAAAAAATTTGCTAGCAAAAAATAATCCCGAGGCGCGCAATACGTCGGTAAGTTGTTTTGAAGTGGTTACGACGTGACTTTAACAGAAGAAAAAAAATGCGCGTTTATAATGCTTAGATACGGTGGCTAGATCCACAGGCACTTGGACCGTTTCAATAATAAAATGATGGTTAATAAATACAACTTGTCAGTAGCCTACTACTACAGTACCAGCAATAGTCTTAATGTTTGATTTGACCTAATAACTTCACTTCAACACCGTTAAATACACCGATGCAACACATAGCCCGCACGCCATTGTGCATGCACAGATACACAGTAGATAGGATAGGCTCCTATCTACTGTGTATCTGTGCATGCACAATGGCGTGCGGGCTATGTGTTGCATCGGTGTATTTAACGGTGTTGAAGTGAAGTTATTAGGTCAAATCAAACATTAAGACTATTGCTGGTACTGTAGTAGTAGGCTACTGACAAGTTGTATTTATTAACCATCATTTTATTATTGAAACGGTCCAAGTGCCTGTGGCTAGATCCAGGGTTAGTTGCTACATCTTCCCCCAAGCAGTATGAAGATAAAGATAAGGATATTAACAAATGAATAAAGTTAACGATGAAGATTTTTTTAACATAGAAAGCTGCATCTAATATAGGGTATGCCCCATCTTGACTTATTTTTCTGAGAATAATATTAGCATTATTGTTTAGGAGTGCTGGTATCAGTTGGTAACCTCACCTTTACTTTCTAGCCTGGGCATACGGCGACTCTTACTCTGCGAATCACATGGCCATTACTCTTAGGTGTGCATCTATTAGGGGATACCCCACCTTTAGCTCTTACCCTGAGCATGATGTGAGTCTTGCTGTTTAAGGGCACAGACATCAAGGGATGCCCCTCCTTTAACTTCTGTATACGGGAACATTTTCTGTACACGGGGATACTTTATGTATTTGCCTGAAAATGCGGTGAATTTCGCCTTGTCGGCAAATGATACGATTTCGTCTATGGTACGAGATAAGATTTACAAGCAACGTTATATGTAACGTTTCGGAAACTTTGCGCCCGCATCAACTGAAATTAATTCAGCATTAACTCTTTCTCGATATTTATCTTCTCCTCATCCGGCAGCTGATGACGTGAGTGGGTTAGGGGGAATGTACGCTGCTTCGTCAAACGCCACCTTCCCTCCCGATGTAGGGATGCTGGGAGTCAGGGATGCTGGGAGTCAGGGATGCTGGGAGTCAGAGATGCTGGGAGTCAGGGATGCAGGGAGACAGGGATGCAGGGAGACAGGGATGCAGGGAGACGGGGATACAGGGAGACAGGGATGCAGGGAGACGGGGATGCAGAGAGACGGGGATACAGGGAGACAAGGATGCAGAGATACAGGGATGCAGGGAGACAGGAATGCAGGGAGACAGGGATGCAGAGAGACAGGAATGCAGGGATACAGGGATGCCAGCAATGTAGGGATATACATGATGATAATACAAGCTAAAAACGTGAATGGGGGGAATGTACGGTGCTCCATCAAGCGCTACCTGATGTTGCAAACAATGTAGGGGATGCTGGGATAGAGGGATGCTGGGATACTGGGATGCAGGGATACGGGAATGTCAGGAATGTAAGGATGCAGAGATAGAGAGATTCTGGTATATATGTTGTAGAGTGGTAGATGTTGGTAGAGATAGCAATATACAGAGATAGCGATCGAGTGTGTGGATGTATGTAAGTGCGTCTTTCTCTCTCTCTCTCTAATTACTCAACGAAAATCCGCCGCACACGTGAGTAAAATGACTCATGCGTCATTTTACTTGAGTAAAAACTCACGTGTGCGCCGGGCTTTAAGTATTTGTCATAATCTAATGGAAAAGGACTAAAGGGAAGCGAAGCGTCTATTGCTCCAAGATGCTGAAGGCATGTTATGTCGCTGCGCGTGCAGTACTTCTTACTTCTTTGTCATTATCTAACGCAAAAGGAGCGGAGGACGTATAACGTCTATTACCCCAAGATGCTGAAGACGTGTACATGCAGAGAGTCTCAGAACATATCATGTAGATTATAGTGTGTAATCAATGGCACGTCTATTTAGAAGCAGCCATTTTAACGACTAATCTACATTTATGCAAATTAAGCTCACTTGATTCCACCACTTGGACATCATATCATTAGGCTTAGTTGTTCTAAGAACTTCAAGGAAATGCATCGTCGTAAAAAAACAATATTCTGCACATTTCTTTTATATCGATATCGAGCTAAAATATCTTGTAGATTGACTGGACTGGTGTGGAATGCGAGTGTGTCGGTATATGCGTGCCTGTAGTATTTCTCACTCCCTTCTTAGTCAGGAGGTGTGAAGAGAGACGAGTGAGTAACGCAAACGTAGTGGGAGATGGGTAGTGAAATACTTATACACACACACACACACACACACACACACACACACAACTCCCACCACACAGACTAATGCTTCCGGGGAAGGGCAGATCACGCAGTACGGCCTGCTCTACGTTATGCAAGAATTATATGCCAAGAAATAAAAAATAAACTCATCTCACTTATATGATTCAAGGCTTTCACCTTCAACGCGTTGACCTTCAACGGTTTTTTTTCGCCGCCAAGATGAGACGTTATATCATACATATTCCTCGTATACTAACGTTATATATATAATATATATATAATAAGTAAAAACACACGGACACCCATGAAGAGATAAGATAAATTTAAAAATAGAAATAGGTGTAAAAATTTTATTTTACACCTATAATACCTATAATACTATTGTACAAACATAAAATTTTGACACCTATTTCTATTTTTAATTTTATCTTATATATATATATATATATATATATAATATATATATATATATATATATATTCTACAGTTTGGCTGCACTCTTGGCGGCTAGTCACTCAACGAGAAAACGTTTCGTTTAACTTTTTTTTAATCGTTGTTTTCTTTTAAAACTTCCACGCCTAGCATTAACGAGAAAATTCGCCACGTTTTACGAAAGACCGAAGTCCCCCCCCCCCCAACACACACACCGAACTACACGGCATTCAGAAAAAAACACACGATCTGCATTTATGCGGCCGCCATATTATATAAAACAAAAGAGCACTACTTTTACGCAGCGTCCATCTTTGATAAAATAAATAACAACAAATAATATATGGTATAAATTGTTAGATAATAGTATGTAACACGTCGCTATAAGGTGAGAATCAGCGGCATCTAGCGACCGAAAAACGAACGAACGCGCGTCTATCTCTCTCTCTCTCTCTCTCTCTCTCTCTCTCTCTCTCTCTCGTACATTCCTCCCGCCGTCCGTCAGTCCGTCACGCAGCCGGCTCGCACGTGCGGCAGCAGCTACGGTAGCAGACGATCCGCGCTACCGGGGACGACGGCCCACGGAGTCAGCGCCTGATATCTCTCTCTCTCTCTCTCTCTCTCTCTCTCTCTCTCTCTCTCTCTCTCTCTC